ATTCAGTGCAAAATAAATGCTGTATGCAATGTTCAAACTTTGCTTTACACATTGGTTTTACACGTACATCTAAGGAACACAAGTGTTTATTATGTATCCCAAAATTTCACTTTGATCTGTCCAGCTTTGTACATATGTGGCCTGTGTCATAGCAACATGGGGTAAAGGAAAATTATACCAAAAAAAAAAAAATACATTTAAAAAATAAATTCCCTTGATGGAGACCAAAAAGAAAGGAAAGCAATGAGGTCACAAGGTGTACTAACATACTGAAATTATCTTGAAAGGATAGAGCAATGTGTAAATCTCCAACAGAGGATTAATCCAATCATTGGGCAATCTCCTTGAATGTTTGCAAGGTTTTTCCAAACATACAACTAAAATAGGGTGATATTGCCCAGTGAAGACTGACACGGTTGCAGCATTGTAGATGAGGCCAATGAAAACTGGACAATTGGATGAAACTAGAACTCCAGTTACAGGAACAGGAAAAAGGTCTCAACTCCAAATTCTCACTTAGTCTTTTGCTGAGAGGTGTGTGGGCCTGAAGTTTGTGGGGTTCCTTAATCCAGATTTGGAAATGAGAATTGTTTCTCTAACACATTTTCAGTGAGGCATTTGTCTTTTCACGGATTTCCCATAGATAAAAAGGTGTTTCTCTTAAATAAACATAATTTGAGTGCTAATAGGGAATATTAACTCTGTTATACAAAGCAGCAAAATTATAACTTTTTTTTTACCCCTTATGGTCCCCTTCCTTTTTGTAACTTAAAGGGTTACTATAGGCACCAAAATAACGTAATGGAGTGTATAAATGTATATAGTGTATAAATCATGCCCATGAAGTTCCACTGCTCAATTCTCTGCCATCTAGAAGTTAAATCAATTTTTATTCTGTGTATACAGCCTTAGCTGTCAGTTAATTAATTCTACAACTACTTGCTACAGATCTACCTACTGTTACCTACTTCCAACCCAACTAAGTATATAATATATAATATATATCCTGATGAAAGTTCACAAGATGGACTGAAACACTGATCTATTTTAAAGAACTGGAATAAAAGTAAAATTTTATTGGAAATCCGTGAGTGCAACCATACTACTTTAACATTTGGATATTTAAGCCTTGGTATTGCACCCGGTTTGGCAAGTTTGAAGCCTGAGTGCAAGGTACATTCTACTATATATATATATATATATATATATATATATATATATATATATATATATATTTGTGCAGGTCATGGTTCTCACTTAGTGTTCAGGAAGTACTAATTCTAGAGTGGAGCTACCATCAGCCACCTACTCTACATGGACGACATCAAGCTGTATGCCAAGAATGAGCGGGACATTGATTCACTGATCCACCGTACTAGGATATACAGCAAGAACATCGGAATGTCGTTCGGACTAGAGACGTGTGGGCGGATGATGGCAAAAAGAGGGAAGATGATCAGGACAGAAGGAGTTCAAGTACCAGAATGACAAATAAAAAATGTAAAAAACAGCTACAAGTACCTGGCAGTACCACAAACACATGGCAACCATGAGGAAGAGGTAAGGAGGAGGTCTCATTTAATACTGATACTGATATTCAATCTCACAAAGTTGCTTCTGTGATGAATGACAGAGTTGCAACATGAGTCATGAGATGTAATGGGTGCATTTGGCATACTCCAGCAGTAGGTGGAGCCAGAGAAAGTGTAAATAGTATTAGAAAGAAGAGGTTCTCCCAGCTGTCTGCATGTCTCATGTTACTCTATGGTTCAAATTGACGCAATTTGCTATTTTTCAGTTACTCTGTATTTAATCCCTGCTGTTTGTTATACCAGTAAAATTCAGTGCCCAGGATTTACTTGACTTATTCCTGCAAGCATAACTAATGGGGATTTTTTAGCTCACCTTGATGAAAACTGCAACGCTACAAAAAAGATTTTTTTTTTTATGAAATAATAAAAGAATCTTATGGATGAATATCTTAAATAGGAAAATTGTTTCTTTACCATTTGTATGTAACTGTTGTATTGTATTGTCTTTTTTATGGAAAAAAAGAAAAAAAGGGGGGAAACCCTTTAAATAAAGATGAATAAAAAAACAAAACAAAAAAAAAAAGAAATAATAAAAGAAAAGTACAATTAAAAAGGACATAAAACGCGCTAAACACTTTACAAATGTTAATTCCCAGATTTTACTATTAACATGACGTAAAGTCATGATTTTATTAAAGACACGGAGGCGAGTATTATGCATAACTCTTTCTTTATTTCCTCAGCAGCAAAGATAGAGGAATATAAATATATCAAAAATGAAAGAAAAAAAAACTGTATAGATACACAGGCAACCAATCACATAACAGAGGAAGTGACTATATAAGGCCTGTGTCTCCCACAATCCCCCTCTTTCTTGCGAAAACCGAAGACCAGGTAAGAAGAACGATATCCTGCTTGGTCAAAACCGGGAACTGGAACAAACCGACAATTTCAAGCTAAAAAAGAGAGAGAGAAATATGGTAATAACCAAACTCCAAACTGTAGACTTACCAATACGAAACTAGTGACCTGTCATAAGGTTAAGGAATGAAACCTGAAAAATATAATAGACATAATTAATTAGTATATGTAATACACCATATGAAGTACATCCAAGGTAGGTCAAACCCAACATACCTGAACACTCCAAATCGCATCTCGCTCCATACCCCACACCGGGAGGGTGGGAGGGAATAATACTCGCCTCCGTGTCTTTAATAAAATCATGACTTTACGTCATGTTAATAGTAAAATCTGGGAATTTTATTAAAGACACGGAGGCTCATATTATGCAAGTTCAAAGCTGTGCTATCACCTGAGATGCGATGTGTTCAATAGGTCTGAAGTAGAAGTCACGGAAGGTCGACTCTCGAGACCAATCCGCTGCACGCATGATGTCCTCCAGACGACGGCCGACTGTCGAAGCCTTGGAAGCCATAGCACCCCTCACCGAATGGGGTGTAAAGATAGACGTGTCTATACCAGCCATAGACAACAGCCAACGCACCCAACGTGCCAGGGTCGGTGTCGCCACAGGTCGATGCGGAGTACGAAAAGAAATGAATAAATGTCGTAGGTCTAGTGAGCGAAGAGGTCGAGTCACCTCCAAATAGACCTTAAAACACTCCACTGGACAGAGTGCCGGACACTCTTGGAATCTAGGGTATACGAAAGACCTTGATGCAGATTTAGTCCGTCTGGAAATATTAAAAGTCACACCTTCAGGGGAGAAGGTAACGGCGTCCCAATCGAGGGCCCTAACATCAGAAACCCGTTTACATGAAACCAAACAAAGCAACATAACCAACTTGGAAGACAGTTGCTTAAGGGTCAGTCCCTGGTTCGGGTACCAGGAAGATAGAAACTGAAGCATAATGTTAACGTCCCAAAAGGCAGAGAAACGAGCCTTGGGCGGACGGGCGAGGCGAATGCCCTTGAGCAGGCGACACACGAAGGGGTGTCTGCCCACGGGCGAACCATCCAAACCAACATGTCCAGCCGATATAGCGGAACGAAAAAGGTTGATAGTTCGATACGCCTTGCCCGAATCAAACAGAAAAGTGAGGTATTCCAGAATTAGATGGAGAGGGGCAGATACGGGATCCACTGCCCGTTCCATGCACCAACTAGACCATGAGCCCCATGAAGAGCGGTATGCCGATCGCGTACCTGGAGCCCAAGCGTTATCGAGGAGTTGCAGAGTCGTCCGCGAAACGTTCGGGACAACCCAGGTACCCCTGAAAGGAGCCACGCTATCAGAGGTAGCTGATGTCGGAGCACCAGCTCGTGCGAGTTCCCATCCGGGTCCAGGAGAAGATCCTGGAAGCTCGGAATCAGTCTGGGGTAGTCTATCGACAACTCCATCAAGCGTGGGAACCAAGGACGGGACCTCCAAAGAGGTGTGATCAGTACCAGGCAGCAATCGTGCCGGACCAACTTCGATATCGTGCGAGCGATCATGTTGAACGGTGGGAAGGCATACAGGCGTCCCGGAGGCCAGTCTTGGAGAAAGGCGTCCGTCGCTACTGCTGCCGGGTCTGGCCTCCAGCTGTAAAACGCCGGGAGTTGAGTGTTCAGACGTGAAGCGAACAGGTCCAACTCGAAGCGTCCCCAGAGACTGTCCAGACCTCGGAAAACCGAAACGTGCAAGTGCCAATCTCCCGAGTCTCTTAAGTGCCTGGAATTCCAATCCGCACCCGAATTGTCCAGGCCCGGAATGTGTTCCGCCTGCACCGAGACGTTGTTGAGGAGACAAAATTGCCAGAAATCCTTCGCCAATAGTGCCAACATTCTGGACTTGGTACCCCCAAGATGATTTATGTACCGGACTGCCGACACATTGTCCATCTTGAGGAGAACGCAACAGTCTGCCCGGCCTGGGGTCAGACTGCGTATCGCGAAGGCCCCCGCCAGCAGTTCTAGACAATTGATGTGTAGGGACCTCTCCATGTCGGACCATCTGCCTCCGGTGGAAACGTTTCCACAACGAGCACCCCAGCCGTGTAAGCTGGCATCGGATTCTATCACGACATCCGGGACCGAACCGAAGATGGCCCGGCCATTCCAGGCTTCCATGTGTGCCAACCACCATACCAACTCGTCTCTGGACTCGTCGTCCAGACGTATCCGGGACTCGTAAGAGCGACCCGAACGCAGGTGTGAACCCTTGAGTCGTTGGAGGGCACGATAGTGTAGCGGACCCGGAAAGATCGCCTGAATCGAAGCCGCCAGAAGGCCGATAATCCTTGCTAGTTGCCTGACGGACATATCCGGCACCCGAAGAGCCCTTCGGAGCTCCTTCTGAATGGCCTTCACTTTGGATTCCGGCAAGTACAGGAATTGCCTGATGGAGTCCACTTGGAAACCTAAGAATTCTATAGATTGGGTAGGGACCATGACCGACTTGTCCCAGTTGATCAGAAAACCCAAATTTTGGAGAAGGTTGATTGTCCAACCCAAATGTAACAGCAGAGATTCCCTGGATTGGGACATGATCAGTATGTCGTCCAGGTAGACGATCAGTCGCACCCCACGGGTACGAAGGTAAGCCATGACCGGCTTCATGAGTTTGGTGAAACACCAAGGGGCCGACGAGAGGCCGAACGGCAGGCAAGTGAAGCGCCAGCGTCGACCATGCCATGTGAAGTGGAGGTAATCCCTGCAGCTCAACGCTATGGGGACTGTAAAGTATGCGTCCTTCAGATCCAACTTGGCCAACCAATCTGATTGGCGAAGGAGGTCTCTGAGGCAGTGTATACCCTCCATCTGGAAATGTTGGTAACGGAGAAATGCGTTGAGGGGACGAAGATTTATCACAGGGACGAACCCCGCCCCCTTTCTTTGGCACCAGAAAAAGATTGCTCGTGAAGCCTGGAGAGGCCAACGGCATTTCCTCTATGGCACCTTTCGTGAGCATCTCCTCTACTTCCTTGGTAATCATGTCGTCCTGATCCTGTGGGAGGGACAACTCTCTGGGGGTGCGAACCTGGACAGGCATAGAAACGAACTCCAGGTGATAACCTTTTACACATCGCAAAACCCAAGCATCTGAGGTTACATCTGTCCACCCCTGGTAGAATAAGGCTAGCCTCCCTGCCACCCTTACATGATCGAGAGGGGAAAAATGGGTACTCACCATAAGGGCGTCTGCCCGAAGCGGCACCACGGGGATACCTGGAGCCCCAGGATCTCCCTCTGGCTGGGAAGAAGGGAGGCGACCTCGCATCTTGAAATCCTCGGGAAGGAAAGAAGGAACCTCTGGAGGCCCTGAACGAGCCACGGAAGCCCCGGCCGGGTGGACGGTTCCTGCTACGCCCGGCCCCTCCGAAAACCTTGGGAGCGAACACGCGCTTCATATTCGCTTGGGCCTTGTCAATGGCCGTAAAGGTCTTAACATAGGAACCAAGGTCCTTCACAAAAGAGGTTCCAAACAGTAAACCCTCGTCAGAGGGGTCAGGTTCCGCTACCGTCATGGCAGCCAATTTGGGATCGATCTTAAGGAGAATCGCCTTACGCCTCTCCGAGGACATGGCGGTATTAGCGTTCCCCAATAGGCAGATCGCCCTCTGGACCCACCCAATGGCCACATCGATATCCATAATCGAGTCTCCAGCCCTAGCGGCATCTAGCAGCTCGTAAAGTTTAGACAGAGGGCCCAGGGTATCCAATATCTTGTCTTGGCATCCCTTGAGGGAGTAATCCAAACCCTTCTTGGGTTTCCAGCCTGATTTATTCATGAATTGGGCTATTTGGGGGTCGATATCCGGAGTCTTACAGGCCGAGCCCGGGAGAGAGGGTCTAGGGCATTCGGCACGCAACTTGTTGCGACCCTCCTTGGAGAGGGGTGTACGCAAGCGTTTAGCCACATATTGTGCAATATGGTCCGGGGGGACCCACTCTGCTGACCGTGGGTGACGCAGATCGTCAGGGTCGAACAGTGGGTTTCCCTGGGGGTCAAAAATGGCCTTACTGTCCCCAGAGGGAATCTTAACTTGGCCTAGGGCCACGGCAGAGGACCCAGAGGGGGCAACCTCCGCGGAGGGTAATTCCTCGTCTGACCCTCCCTCATCATAGGAGTCATACTCCATAGCATCAGAGTCACGTTCCACACTCCGGTCGGTATCCGACTCATCATCTAGGGCCTTGGCCCTTTTCCACAATCTAGCCTTTTTAGCCCGGCCAGGGGCTCTTTTGCGCGTGGGATGCGCGCTGTCTGTGACCACCTCAAGTGTGTCAGTCATGGCAGGTAACACCTGCATCGAGGAGTGGGAATCAACGTGCTTAGATTTTGCCTTTGCCTTACGGGTACCAGGCACAGTCTGAGCAGAGGAAGGGGACCCCGCACCCTGGGGGGTGGGGGTAGGCAGTGAGGGCATAAGCATAGAATGCAGTGACTGAGAGAAGGAGGAAGAAACAGCACCCATTGCAGAAGCAAAAGCTTTTTGTAAGGACGAAGCCATAGTGGCATCCAGCAGGGCCTGAAATTCCTGGGAGGCCATAGCACCCTCAGGGTTATCTATATTAAAGTCACCAGGGGTGCCCACAGGCCCATCCTCCTTATCCTGCATGGTGGCAATAATAGGGGAATATATCTTTAAGTGACAGTAAATAACAAAGCAAGCTATCTGCACTAACTGATGAAAATAAATAAACTGGAATACAGCTTTAAGGGAAAACGAAATGGTAGAAGGGTTGAGTAACCCACAGGAACACTGTGAAGAAAAAACCTGCCCGCTGGTGCGCTCAGGGGACCCAGACCGGGGAGACAGACCGCACGGCAGCAGCAGAGTGAGCGACCGATCAGCCGACGGACCGCCCAAAATGGCCGCCGCACGTGTGGTATCACGATCGCGGACTGATCCCCGGCGGGGGAGGGGGCGCGCGCACCCTACCCGCGCGGGCAGCCCGCGATCGGGGAAGCAGAGACAAACACAGCCGCGGCTCAGGAGACTGCCGCGGCTATGAAAACACAGCCGGGTCCTGCGCGGCACCCGCAAGGGGGGGGGAGAGAGAGCGCAGGGGGACAGTATGACCGGGGGAAAAACCCAGGAGGTGAAGGGGAGAGCCCGAGCACACCAGCAGAAGGCTGCCCAGTAAAGGCAACCCAAGCAAGTCACAATAAAAATATAATGTAAAAATATAATGTAAAACAGACAAAATATAACATCAGAGACAAACTAAGGATAAGAGCAAATACTTAGCTGTCTGAGGAAGCAGCAAAGAAAGAGGGGGATTGTGGGAGACACAGGCCTTATATAGTCACTTCCTCTGTTATGTGATTGGTTGCCTGTGTATCTATACAGTTTTTTCTTTCATTTTTGATATATTTATATTCCTCTATCTTTGCTGCTGAGGAAATAAAGAAAGAGTTATGCATAATATGAGCCTCCGTGTCTTTAATAAAATTAGGAGTTTGCATTTTTCTTTTTAATAATATGTGGATTTCAACTGAGAAACCTATACAGATAACCTATACTCTAGGAGCTTGTTATTTTATAATTAGCTGTCTTAAAGTAGATTTTTTTAATAATGAAATTTTACAAATTGTTATCATGTAGAATGCTTTTCAGGAAACACAGACGGAGCCAGCTGATTGTGGGTGGTTTATGAAACTTTTTATAGCTCGCATTATGCCCTGTTCTTTAGAGAATCCATTTAATGGTTTGCATTATCTACAGATATTAAAACTTCTCAAGGAGGTTTACACAACACAGTACGTCCAGATTCACTGTGCTAGATTAATCAGTAATGCTCGTGGGCACCTATCTCTTTCTCTGAATTAGTATCACACTGAGAATTGGGCATTTTTGAATGTGGATACCCTTCCTGCTTTGCCAGCTGCTCATATACGGAGATGATAATGTTGCTCACCGAAGAGACATTTGAATCATAATCAATAACATCTACAAATCTTATTTTATTTTCTTCCCCTGGAATATTAACTTGATCTGAGTAGAAAACTGAGTGCAAATTGTACACATCCTACTTTTTTTCTTCAATGGATAAATGTATTTAGTAATGAATCATGCTTTCAGGGATACGGGCATCCTGCAGCATGTATAGTTACCAATAATCCAAATCTTTATCCCAAATTACAAGGTAAAAATAAACATTTTGGTTGGGAATGCCTGGCAAGGTTGGTTGGCATAGTCTGAGGTCAACAGAACCATAGCAGATCATGGTATTGGTAAAGTTGTAATGTTAAAAAATAAAAGTATATATTTTAGCTCCATGCTTGAATATAGTATGTCGGACAGATCTTGCTAAAGGAACGCTATAGTGACAAGAATACAAACACTAAAAGGCTGGAATGTAGCAATAGGTCCATGGCCCCCTCCGGAGGTTAAAGGTAATTTTACTAACCTTTTAAGAGGTTGACGCACTGGTCTCACCGAAGCTGGCCCTGCCTGGCTCTGCCTCTATGACTGAGATCATCAATTATCAATTTCATATTTTAGGGCAAAATTAGCAGAATTGAAAATGTTTTTAAAAATGCAAAATTCTATGGTCAGTTCATGACAATTTCTAATTTAGTAAATGACACTTTGTATCTCATTCACATAATTTACCTTTGTATGATATATTACTCTTAGTTTAGATTATCTGTTTACTACATTGAGATTACTGTCAGGGCCGGTGCAAAGAATTTTGGGTACATAGGCGAAGATGCATTTTTCCTCCCCCCCCCAAAAACATATTCGCCCATGTGCCTCTTAACCTCCCTTTTGTGTTTCTTATCCCGTCTTTTAAATATCTGACTCCCTTTAGTGTATTTTATCTCCTATTTTTGCCTTTGTGTGTCTCCTATCTCTCCTCTTTGTGTCTTTTATTCTTCCCAGCTCCTTTGTGTGTCTCTTTCCTTCTCAAGCCCCGCTGTGTGTTTCTTTTACATCCAGCCCCTCTCCCTGTCCCTTAATGGTCCCCTCCCTTCTCTGACCCTTACTGTTCCTCTCCCTTCTCTCCTCCTTTCCCTGTTCCTCAGTGTTCATTTCCCTTCCCCCCTCCTTTCCCTGTCCCTTAGTGTTCCTCTCCCCTCCCCCCTCTGTTCCCTGTCGCTTAGTGTTCCTCTCCCCCCTCCCTCCTTTTCCTGTACCTTAGGGTATCTCTCCCCTCTTCTCCATGTCCCTTGGTGCGCCACCCACCCCCATAGTGGTCCCCTCCCCTTCCTGGTGTGCCTCCTACCTTTCTTGTAGCGTGGCTGAGCGGAGCGAATCCCGGTACAGTGAGCTTTTCCTGTCAGTCCTGCTAGGTACAGGAAACAGAAGTTCCTGTACCACGGTACACTCTGCTTGGCCACGCTACAGTCAGGGGTGTAGAAACACTGACAGTCACACACACTCAATGACAAACACACAGACATCTCTGACAGCCAGACTCACTTATCTGACACTCATTCATTGACAGACACACAAACACTGACAGACTCATTGACAAACACACACACACAAACTCACAGACACTGACAGACACATGTACTCACATGCACACACGCACATACTGACAGACACACTCACTCACACACACACACTGACAGAACCACACACACACACATATTCACATACACACACACACACACACTGACAGACACACTCACACACACACTGACAGACACACTCACTCACATACTGACAGACACACATACACACACACACTGACTGACAGACAGACAGACACTCACACACACACACACTGACAGACACTCACACACACACACTGACAGACAC